CGCGGTGACCCTCCATTACACGGATGAGCCCTGGGTCAGAGAGCAGGGGATGGGGGTGGGATATGGAAATGCAGTTAAAGAGCAAGAGAAGCGTCAGTGTCAGAAGGATATGGAGGATCAGAGGACACCAGAGTACCAGAGGAGTATTATGGTCACAGAGACATGGTAGAATAGTCCAGGGTTACTAGAGGTACTAAACCTTCAGAGCAATATTGTGGTGCCAGAGGTGTACCAGAGGCATTAGAGTATCAGAGGGGTACTAGAGAGACTAGAGTCACAATGATACTAGAGATTATCCCAGGGTTACTAGAGCTATGAGAGTATCAGTATTGTGGTGTTAGAGTACTAGAAAAATTAGACTAGCAGAGGGGTACTAGAGCATCAAAAGTACTACTATAGATACTAGTCTATCAGAGTCAAGAGTGGTGGTGGAGAGTTCTAGAGTATCAGATGAGTATTAGAGAGCCAGGCGGTACTTTAGATACTAAAGTGTCCAAGGAGTACTACTAGAGGTACTAGAAGCTCAGAGTGGCACTAGAGAGTCAGAGAGATATAAGAGGAGTACTGGGGTATTCGCATATCAGAGGTATACTAAAGGTGCTAGAGGATCAGGGTGTACTGGAGGTACTAGAGTATCGGGTGGAGGGAATAGAAGCATTAGTTTATGTGGAATAATGTATTAGATTATCAGAGGGTGTTAGGGACAGTAGAGCATCAGACAAGTACTAGTACTAGAGTATCTGAGGGGTAAGAATGGCACTATAGCATGAGTGAGGTAATAGAAATGCTAGAGTCATAGGTATTACTAGAGTGTCTGAGGGTACTAGAGTATTGGAGTATCAGAGGGACACTAGATGTGGAACATTGGGTCATGGATATTAGGATAAAGAGTGCATTAGGAATTCTTAAACCAAACTGATACTGAGAAGTAGGTTCTGTTTTACAAAGTGAGGTTTTTACTCACGAAAGCTTATGCCCAAATAAATCTGTTAGTCTTTAAGGTGCCACCAGACTCCTTGTTGTTTTACAAAGGACTCTAAGATTTCAAAGTTTGGCTTCATTTAGAAATGGCATGAAACCTGAAAACCTGAACGTCTCTGCAAAGGACAATTCCAGAAAAAAATGGTTTGGGATCGATCGAAACATTTCGATTTCAACGTTATTAATTATATTATATTATATTATATTATATTATATTATATTATATTATATTATATTATATATAAAATACAGAATAAATCAATTCAAAATGAAAAGTCATTTAAAAGAAATCAAAACATTTCAGTCCGAAAATGTGGAAACTGAACATTTCAGCGTTGTCAGAACTCGTTTTTTTCCCAGAATGAAAGTTGGCGAAATGGCCACGATTCTGCAACATATTTCGATGTTGACGGAGCTGCACTTGCTGATAGTAAATGGTTCAGTCACAGTTTTCCTGCCCAGCTCGAATGGTGAGTGGGACAAGGGAGTGTCAGAGACGGGCTACAGGGGATAGTCCATATGTGAGGGGAATGAGGGCATGTCAGATGGGTGATAGAACATGTGGGGTGCGGTCAGGCAATGGGGTTGCCAGAGGATGGTCCATAGCGGGAGTGATCATTGTAGCTAAGGTAGCAGGATAGTTACCACTCCAACCCCCTTTTTTCAGTTGCTCATCACTTTGTGAAACTTTCCTCTCACCTTCTGCACTGACCTTCCCTGTCCCGTTTCGCCTGCAGACTCTCCCCAGCACGTCCTGTGATCCCTCAGGCCAGTAAAATGTTGGGATTAGCTGCTTCTGCCACCAGAGTATTTAGCCAAAGCTACTTAGTGAGAGCTGCCCAGGATGGGCAGATGGTAGGTTCTTAAATAGATGGACAGAGATAGGGCAAACTGGCAGCGTAGTGATACTGAGTGAGGCCACATGTAGGGTGGGCACTGGAGTAGCCACCCTCCTGTGAGTGACAGCTCATCTTACTCACATGAACTAGCCTTGGGATAGCTTAGCTGAAAGGCCAAAGCCTCGGGGACTTTGGAAGTATCCTGTCCAGGCCAAGGGCTGAGATGGCACCTAGAAAAGCTTTTCTACCTTCGGCTTCTAGGATGGTGAGAAAATGTTTTGGGGGAAGGAAGTTCTGGGCTGACCACCCCAGGCAGTAGCAAGGGCAGGCAGGCTTGGTTCAGCACTCATTGCAAACCCACAGCTTCATTAAAAGTCTCCCAAAGTCATGGCCCAGCTCCTTTTCCACTTAGAACATAATAGCAACAGCGGGGTTAGCATTCAGAGCCTTCAGCTCCCAACGCCACCTGATCTAAGGGAGAATCTTCATTAGCTGTTAGCAGGATGGGGCCTTTAAATCACAGTTGTAGTTCTGATTCTCTCCAGTAGAAAGCAGTGGTGTACATACACATCAGCCAGTTCCTTACAAGAGCCTGGGAAGTGCTCTGAGACAGAAGGTATTATAGACACATAAAATATTATTGCAATAGAACTTCCCTGACTAGGGTTTTTTCCTTAGCAGCGATGGGGCCTGAGCCAACCCCTGCATCCCGGGACCCGTGCTCTGTATCTGAATTTTGTGGCTGGAATCCATGTCTAATTTTGAAATCTTATCAGATGAATCAGTACAATTTCCACCCTCCGTCCCCGAGGGCTTTGATGAGGTTCTGCCTTAAAGCATGAAAGTCTTAGCTACGGAGCCACTTATCCCAACCTCTTTGGTTTGGAAACTGGACCGTTAAACTAGTGAGCACCAGCTCCCTTTGCTGACATAGGGGTTCAGCGGGGCTAGCGTATGAGAATCCAGTGGGAGGAGTCTTTCAGATGGTGCCCTGGCCCAGATGAGACAGGAAACATTTTGAGGACCCCACCGATTAAGCTTCCAGTCGCATGTTTGGGGAAAACCTCAGGCTGGGTCTTAATGGAAAGATACCGGCAGCAAATCTCAGTATGGCGAACGGAGCCTGTGAGCCGCTGCAGCTGGAGATCTGCAGTAGAAATGCTCAGCAAGACACCAGCTGGGTTATTCACAGCGCCGTCCTCTGTGTTATGCCCTCCACTGGAGTTAGAACAAAGGAGGCCTGGACCAGATTCTCTTTAGAGTCTGCCAAGACACTCCTGAGATCTATCCAGAGCAATGCAGCGCACCAGGACTGGGGAACCAAATCTGGCTCCCCCAAATGCTGAAGGCTGAACGCCACATGGCTTGAGCGGTCACAGAGGTTATTCCGTGGAACTACAGACCCGCAGGGGAGCATAGCGCAGGGACACGGTCCCTTATCCCAGCTGCAGATCCGATCGCTGCTTAGGAAGGAGGACGGAATGTAAGGCCTGGAGGGGAGAGTGGCGCGTTGGGGGGCGGGCACTGGGAAAGGGAAGAGAAAGGAGATGAATGACCGATCATCACAATAGTCTGCCGTGCAAGAGGGTGTTAGCAGCTTAGAGTCATCCTGTCCCACAACACGCAGGACCCCGAACTTCCCACGGGGACAGGCGGGGGGCGGGACAGTTAGCGACACCTGAATTTATAGCCTGCCCTCTGGGGTGCTGAGCAAGCCCCGGTGTAAACTCCCAACAATCACTGTGGTTGGATTCAGGTCGTGGTGAACCAGCATGTGCAGAACCAAGAGAGAACGCCAGCCGATCTAAACAGAGAGGCATGAGTTACCCTCTCAAGCTGACAGCTGGGGGTCGCAGAAGCGCTGGAGTCTGAGATCCGGATGCCGCTGGGAACCCCTGGAGAGCCCCAGCGAAGGTGTCTGATAGTGAATGCCAGCCACTAAGTGCACGTGGCTTAACTGCATATAATCCATTTAACAGCACAAGTCACCTGGGGCCTTGATCTGTCCTCATTAGATTAAGGGGGCATCCATCTAGCTTAACGTCATAGCAGCTAACTGCAGCATTTGGGGATCTGCAGGCCAAGTGGGGTACACACGGTGACTTCAGCAGTATCATCGCTCTGGCTAATGCTTTGCACCTTCGGGCCTGGGATCTCAAAGCGCTCTGTGGAGATTCGGTAATGAAACCTCACACACCGTCCCTTTGAAATAGGGAAAGGTTTGACAGGGAACACCCCCCTTCCACTGAAATGCAGCCACTTCTGGGGTGGAGTAGGGGCAGGAAGGCTTCAAAGGGTAAAGCTACACTACCTACCAGTGCAGGACAGGAAGTGAAGAAGGATCCTGTATCCGGTGGGAAGTGCGGGGTGAGTTTAGGTAGGCAGAACAAAGCATCCTGCACTGGAGGTTGGTCAGGATGCGGGAGCTTACGGGCCGCCTCTGACCAAAACACCCATGGGTGGGACCCTGAATGGTCTCAAACATACAGGACCTTTCCAGCTCACCCAGATGACAGCGATTCCAGTAGTGCAGCATTCCCAGACCACCCTGGGAAAATGGGGTCAGCGGCCACTCAGAAGGGAGAGCGCCTCCTATCGAGTCGTGTATATTGCACCCTGCAGCCCGGCGCCCTGTAGCACAGCTCTGCGACACTGGGGTCAGCACTGACTTAGAGGGGAGAGCGCCCCCTACTGAGTCACACTACTTCCTCCAGCACAGCACCCCCAGCAACACAGGGAGGTTAGGTGCTGTCTAGGAGAGAAGAGCGCCCCCAACTGAATCACACATTTCCTGCCACACCCTGGCGTTTTCCTTGGGGGTGGCCCAGGAGTCTAATACTCCCCTGAGTGGTTAGCTTATGGGGTCAGCTGGGATCCCAGCACAGTGGCCTGACTGCAGGCCAAGGCTGAAGCGCAAGCGCACGGTAGGTGTAACGCACGTATACATAAGCTCAGGAGCTGGTGTATCCACTCCAGCGAATTGTTCATTGGCGTCAAGATGGAAACTTGTTATTTCAGTGCAGGAAATAAAACCGGCCGTTCCCTGCTCCGTTTACACCGGGGACTGTGTCGTTTGTAAAAATATCACGATCATAATTTGCTGCACAGCCCTGCGCATGGGGGTAAGTGCATGTGGTGGTTCTGGGCACATTCCCTCCTGCTGGTCCTATGGCAATAGTACATACGTGGAGTGTGCCGTAGAGGGCTCCTGCCGTGATCACCCACCACGCCTGCACCGTGACCCCTCTTTGACGGCGTTCCAAAGGACTTTCAGGAGTTACTCACATTAGCCCCCCTTGCTAGGTGCAGGGTCCACCCCATTTGACCGAAGTCTAGGGAGGGTGAGGGGAGGCGGCTGCCTGGGCAGTCAGTGGCAGAGGTGAGAATAGAACCCAGGAATCCTGGCTGCTGGGGCTGGGAGTTAGCCACAAAACTATCCTTTGTCTACAGGGCAGGGGAGACGAGGGAACATGGAAGTCCCCCGGGCCCTGGGGAGTTGCGAGATTGCTGCATACGTGGGCTGCACTGAGGGCCCCGGGGACAGCCCAGTGCAAGGACAGGGGATGTTGATGCTGCTGGCGTTTGTCTAGCGGCCGGACAGCAATGGCTTCCTGACCCGCAGAGCAACCCAGCCCATTGAGTTACGGCCAGCTGCTCGGGGATAAAGCTTGGAGTCTCAGCCGTCCGTCCCCCGTCGCTCCCTTTCATCCTCCCTTCCCTGGCGCAGCTGGCTCCCAGCTCCCTCCTTCGTTCTCTTCGGATTAGTACGCCCAGGCTCGCGGTTTATCTGCACAGCTGGGTCTCGGGGCGGCTTAGCTCGGTCACCAAGCTGCGGGCTGGCAGTGCCCAGTTAATTGGAAATCCAATGGACTTCCCTAGCCACCAAGCCGGATTAGCCAGGGCTGTGCCTCTGCTATTGTGTCAGCCGAGCCAGGCAGCCCAAGAGACTCGGGGGGTGGTCGTGGGGAGAGAGGCCAGAAGGGCCTCACTTGATGCTCTGCACACAGGGAAATCTGCCCGGGTGGGCATGGCTGGAGGAGGGGTGG